CAAGAACTTACAAATTACTTTGAATCAGTGACAACTTATATGAAAGTGATAATAATTACTGGACCTATATCCGAAATATTGTTGTGGTGAATACACATAAATTAACAAAGATATGACTATATTTTCATCAAGCGTCCGCGCTTAGTCAAGTTTTACCACTATCGGCAATTTTGTCAAGAGCGACCGTGCCCGTCAGTTCACGCCCACACGCAGAGCCACACGCCCCTGTCTTCGGTCTTCGAATAATGTACCCTTTAAATGTTCAGTCTGGAATAATTCATGAATATTGATCAGGGGCAGGTTTTTCAAAGCTCTGTTATATAAGCTATATATAACGACCCGTTTACACGGAGTTAACTTTAAGGGATAGATAAAGAAAGTCTTTTACTAGAAGTCCCGTTAACTTTAACATGGAGTTAACTTGCCGTTATATTTAACGAAGGTGTTGGGTTCCGTTGTCGGTTTAACGATGGCTTTAATCGGCTGTCAGTCGAAGTACTATACCCTTAAGAAAACGTAGTATAGAACACTCTTAGAGAGTGCATGTACACAGAGAAAAAAGTGGGTCAGTTGACTCATTTGAGTGAGTATCCATAAAACGACTCACTTTTCGTTGACTAACTTGGGACACACATAAGACTCAAACAATAAGTCCAAAGACTCATTTTTGTGACACCCAAAAATCCATAAAACGACTCGTTAAATGAGTCAAGTGACTCGTCTGGTAAAGTGAGTTCTTTGACTACTTTATTGAGTCATTTGACACAACAGATGAGTAACGCAACTAACTGTAGTGAGTCAAATGACTAGTAAAGTGAATCAATGCAAATAGATATGAATCGAATTACTAGCCTACACAACGAGTCAAATGACTCCGCACAAGCCCGAATCCTATTAACTTTATGTCTGATGTATCAACCTCTGCATCAGTGTAATGATGCGTTCGTCGTTTGAACTAACCAACTAGTTAGCCGAACAATCAAATAACATAATATTATATTTCCAAACCTGTATGATCATTATTGTGTCAGTTTAAAAGTTGAAAATATTATAAAATACATTTGTATTTAATTCATACAGATATAGTAAATGATCACTAAGAATCAGTTTAATGTTCCCAAAACACATTATCATTTCAAAAGTTCAAGAAATCTTTCGCATTTCCAATTCCATAAGTTGTTTATTTATCTATGACATCACTTCTCTGGTTTCTGCAATGATACAAAAACAAATTTACCAGATTAACATCATCACTTGCAGCTGATGTGTAAATGGTTTAAATTATGTCAAATAACACTACACCCACCCCCATAATTAAGTGAAACTTAAAAGTCTATTTTACTAACCATTTCAGTGGGACAAAGTATTTTATTTATGTCTTCTTTTAATAAAGTTGAACTGCTTTAACAGTAGCATCCAGCCAGCCTTGAAAGAAAGAAAGAAACAGTACAAGTGAATTTGCGAAGCGCTTCATGTGAGATATGGTATCAGTAACATATCACAAAAACTTGCAAAACCCTGACAGCCCATTTAAGATGCATTATGTAAGATTTGGATAAAGGGCTGCCCGATGTTACTATAATAGTACAAAAATATATAGATAATGGAAAATGAAAATATTGAAAATTTCAATCAAATTACTTCATTCTTAGCGAAGTTATGAGTGCTAGAAGAAGTAGCGTAGTTTTTGTTATATTATGGAAGCAATGGTACTGGACAAACGAGACTACATCTCGATTATCTATTTCATCGTTAAATTTTCAAATATCGGGGCGTTCTGATCCATTTAAATTTCTGCCACTCGATGTTCTAGAGAGTTGATTATAGGCTTGTCATGTGAATAAACGTCTAAATAATAGTTCATATAACATTTGAAGTCAAAATAAAGACCTGTAATAGGCAGATTTAGCCCTTAGTCTTAAATAATGCATCTTTCATGTTTAGTATTAAGCCTGTTAGACGTACGAAAATCCTACCATATTATTGACAAAAAACAGTGATCTATTATTGACCCAGTTGCGATTTAGTATTTACTTATTTTCCTACTCTTTGTGTAAAGTAGCTGTGACTCATTTATGAATTACATGGCGACTCGCTTTCGACTCAATCGTATTAGCCTAGTAACTAAGCCTAGGTCAATAATATTAATTTCTTATAGATTTAATAAATTTAAATTTGAATTTTTAATGAAATTCAAAATCATTGGCCTATTTCATATATTATGCCACTTAATCTGTATAATAATAAACATAACATAAAAACACAAATGATTCACCTTTTTACAGTAGATACTTGTAGATGCATTGGATTTTCTTTTAGGTCAATGAGCGTCCAGTCTTCGTCAAACGGCCGCCAAAATCTTCCACCCACAATTCATTTCACCGGAAGGACTCACTCTTGACCAGGCAGTGACTCACTTAGGACAAATTCATCACTGATTATTTAATAACTCGGAAGTGACTAGTTGGCGACTCTAAGTGTCCACGCAAATATCAATGAACTGAGTCATAGCTGACCCGTTTGCCCCCAATCTGAGTCAAAAGACTCATCTAGCTGAGTATTTTCTCATAACTCACCCAAATGAGTAAGTTTTACTCATTTTTGACCCACTTTTTTTTCTCAGGGAGTGTATCCCATTTTCTATACTATGAAATTCTATAGTGTCATATTCCTGAAGCAGTGGCCAGAGAAATCACTCTCTGGCCATTGCTGTATTAAGACTGAAAACTTTAGTTTTTGACGAGGCGTGTCCATTCTTATCGTCCAATCAAATGTCTCCTTAGTAAAATAAAGGGAATGTTCATGACTTACGGGGGATAACCTCTTTTTTTTAAACAAACCCCCCCCCCCCCCCCCAAAAATCCCACTGTTGTTAGTGCTAATTTCAATAACAAAATTTACCCTTGGATACATGGGGAACAAACATCGGTGCTTGCATCGGTTGATTGGCCGTCGCAGAAACTCGCCATTGGAAGGAAAATTCTTTAACTCAAATCTCTGATATAAATTCTATAAATGAGTCTAATTCGTACCAATTATAACTGCCAACCTTTAAAGTAGCTACGTCTCTAACTCAATTTCATCCAAAGTCTTCGACATTGAAAACACGAATTATTTGTCAATTTGAATCAAAATCGATGTTGTGATCTAGCCGGGAAAAGATAGGCTTCAGATATCCAATATTTAAGACAAAATAGACATTTTACCATTGGTGCACGAATCTTGTACCATAATGCATTTCAGTGCCATTTTTAACACGGGACTCGAAGAACGAGGCTATACATGTCAGACGGTGACGGCATATTCTTATCTGGTGGGCATGGGCAATAAATACTATCGGTGTAGACTGGAATAACCAGACGCTAGAGATTGCCATTCGATTGAGACTTCTGATGTATTTCGCGGAACATAACTGTTTATATACATTCATATTATATTATTATATGCGTTGCGACCCATTTTTGTCAAATTTCAGGGAACCAATTATTATCGATTTAGCTCCTTTAAATATTTGATAACATTTTTCCATTTTTGTGAAGAAAATCCATGAATTGTTTACGTCAACGTCAACAACGTCCTGCCAATGTCCAAGAACTTGCTGCTGCGTTGCAACAGGAATGGGACAATCTGGACCAAAATGACCTTAGACGTCTCATTAAGAGTATGCCACGTCGGATCAATGCTTGTTTGGCAAACAGAGGAGGATTTACCCGTTTCTGACTTGGTTGTGATGCTGTGGTAACTTTGCTGTTTGACCCCGGGTATCATTTTACCCTTATAATGGTCAGTCTGTGCCTTACTTAGTCTAACGATCATTTGGAATAAATCGATGAATGTGAACTTCATTTCATTTTGTCATTTGTTTCTTCGTCAGTTTCATTAGGTGACTTCAATAACACTTAAAAATCAAATATCCCCTACATTTTTTGAATAGTATATTAAATCAGAATCCGATCTGTTCTCATTCTTCACTGTAGTAGGCATAGACAAGTATATGGGATGGGATATGAAACGTTTTCGATCTCTTGTTATATTAAATTTTTGATTGCTGGCAAATTACTTTCTTAATTAAAGAACATTTCATTAAATGGACTAATCGTTTCGTTTTCATGAAATGAGCTCCTTAATAAAAATTTACATCAAAGAACAGATACAAAATCAAAGTAAAATTTAAATTTTATTTCAAAAAGTTGTCGTACATAATAAGCATTTAATATATATTTAATCTTTCCAAATATAATATACAGTTTCCGTACATTTAAATTGACGCAAGATTCCATTAATTGATAATAACAAGTAAAGCCGTAAAGTCAAAATCCATACAACGACGACGACGACGACAAGCTTATCTTTCCTTCATGGGAGCATTCATTTTAACAATTTGACATGTAACCCGATGTCCGTTGACCGTTGACCTCAAGAACTCAAGATGCAAAAGACAAAAGACAAATGTCATTTTGCAAAGTTGCTTTGTTGAAGTGTGTATGTGAAAAGGTTGTGCATATTAGTGGATTTTTTCCAAAAAACATTTGTAATTTGACATTTGACTTTTACTTTATGTATTCATCATTTTAAGTATAACGACATATGTATTTTACATCTTAAATAGGTATTTTCTATGATGTATAATAACACTTTCAACATACATTTAGTTTTGGCCCTTAAATCCCGCCATAGAGATTGTCATTCGTTTGAGACTTGTAACACAACGATTGAATGTAGTAATTTCTAGATCCAAATATTAGCTCTTTTAGTTTTGCTATGGACCTTATAAGGTCCATGGATTTGCTGATGTTTATATTCAAATGTAGCTTAATATTTTGAAAAGGTGTTTAAACCAGTTATGTTAGTTAATCAACAACAAAAATCGGTCAATATGGCATTCTTTTTAGTTATAATGACGCAATACGGCCAATCCCGTTTGTTCTCGGTAGACTAGTATATTCTGGCATGTTGCGCTTTACAGTACACAGAGCATATTACACGTCATTGACAAAGGTTAACTATAAATAGATATAGATCACATGACCTAACCATTGACTATATAATGTCCAATGATCGTCGAAATCTTAAGATTCTCTACAACAATAAATATTGTAAAACAAGTTTAATAAGGTAGGTTTACATTTTCCGATTTATTTTGAGCTTTAGTAAGAATGGGGATGACAGAATAATTGTGTAGGATTGCCATCAAGTCTGGATAAGGAACATTATTCACCACTTTATATTTTATTAATAAAAATTTAATTCGTAATCACATAAATAATATATAATATAGGTATTTTGTCGTTTGGTTTGAGAAATATCTTTCCGGTGTCGACGTTTTTTTATGAATAATATTCTTCGTTTTACAGAAATGGGGTTGATGCCAATGTCAGCAAGGTGGGTATATTGAAAATATAATTTGCTTATCCAGTTACAATTGGACAAATATCTTTACATAAGCAAAAGTGTTCTTGACAGAGACTAATAGTAATAGTCCTTCATGATATTGCTTCCATGGAGGCTTGTACTTTTTTTTATTGTAAAGGAATCGCTGGAATTAGGAAAATTATAACTAATCGATATGCTCTCTATAAGCCGTACCTGATCATTGGTATCACATGGGTAATTATTTTAGATTTTATATCCTTACTTCAAGCTTTAGTTGTTCAAAATCAACACATTTCCCCTTCCATCTTGTGTTAATATAAACCTGCATTTCTATTTTCAGGATTTTCAAAACAGACAGCTGTTTTAAAGAGACTAAGAAAAAAAGGACTGAAGAAGAAAGACTTGTCAATGAAGCTGAATTGGACCAGAAGTTTCATTTCAGAGAAAGAAAGATTAGAAACCTTTCAGTGGTGGCCATTAACTCATTCAGCAAGACCATATGAATTTGTACAGGCAGGTTTTTACTATAGTGGCGAGCGAGATAAAGTCATCTGTGCATTTTGTAATGGAGAGCTGTCGAACTGGAAACCTACAGACAAACCCATGGAAGAGCATCGCCGAAGTTTCCCAGATTGTATATTTGTCAAAGATAGCATGAGACCAATTCAGAATGGGGCTTCTCCAATAGTAAATGAGTCTGTGTATTACAGGCAACCTGTCACCAACACAGCTGTAATGTACAGCCCAGCCAAATCTCATGTTCCCACCATGGTCCAATCATCGCCTGCCTATAACAGATTAACAGAAACACAACCAAGAACTGTTGAAACAAATTCAAAGCACACATATCTTCATCCCGTGGACAGGCCTTGTTGTACTCCACAAGCAACTAGACAAAATGCATATACTGACTATACAAAAGAACACAACCGTTTGAACAGCTTCACGAACTGGTCAAGTAGAAACCAAACACCACAGGAATTAGCTAGGGCTGGTTTCTATTATACAGGAATTGGTGACCGTGTCCAGTGTTTTGCGTGTAAAGGTATCGTAAAGTTCTGGCAGTCTGATGATGATCCATGGATTGAGCATGCCAAGTTCTTCCCTAATTGTCCATACTTAAAGCTCTGTATGGGAGAGGAGGTAACAAGTGCTATACACAAGGAAATAACACATATCTATCCCAGGGAGTGCATAGATAGCAATGTCGACGAGGTTGACATATGTCGCTGATAGTTATCAATTCAGTTAAAACCAGCCCATGCTCATGTCCCTCCAGAACCAGTTTAAGGACTGCTGATATTTAACACTGACAAATTATTCAAATATCCAAGGAACATATATACATGGGGAAGCGATGTAAACTTGTGCACTTGTCTTTGCAACGAAGAACAGACAACTGGAGGCTGTTCTATGTATCATATTTTTTCGAAGTTCATAAAGAGGAATTGGGTGCCAGAGCGGTCTAACGTATACAATTTGGATATATTATCGATTCAAGTATTGTGTTTTCAAACCAAAGCTTGTATGTGATGGGGAGTAGAGTTGCCTGGTTTACCTTGTGGATTTTGTTCTGTTACCTCCTAATGCTAAAGACCCATAGGAGCAATTGAAATAAAAGTATACTTTTATCACATGTTATTCCCGAAATGACTCAGTTTAATTGGATTTTAAACCTGTTTTTATGATGTTTAAGAAGAAAATAAAGTATTCTAGTGCAGAAAGTTAATTTTATCTTATGTGGAAATTCGCACACATGACTGTGTATAATACAAGCACACTTGTGAAAAATAGATGTAGATTCATTTACAGAACTGAACCCAAAAAAACACATTTGATACAAAATATTTGTCTTGTTACAAATTCTACTGAATAGTGCAATAGAAACTCAGGGATATGTATTTATTTAATTTCATTTGTTCAGATTGATCTGTCAGTTATATATTATTAATGTATTTATATTGTTGGTGTATATTTGTGAAGCAGTGGTTACATGCATTATTGACTCTGGAAAGAATTTTATATTTAGAATAAAAACATAAATACCTAATTGAGAATATAAAGATAAATATTTATTTATTTAGAATAGTACTATTTATTCTTACATTTTAATTAGTTTGGTTTTATATGAATTACAAATTTTACTTTTGTTTATTAATTATGTATTTTCTTGTTGTTAATTTATGTTAAAATATTTTATTTTCTTTATAAAATACCTGATTTAGGATATAATTATAAGGATACATATTTATATATATTACAAATTTTACTTTTATATATTGACTTATCTCTTTTTTTGTTGTTGTTAAATTAACTATGTTGATACAAATAAATTGCATTTAAATAATCTTTTTATGGCCTTGTTTATTTTATACCCTTGTTTCCTGATATTATCTAGGTTTGTTCGTCTGTTCTTTAGACATGCTTCTAGGTAAATTTAATTCAGATTACTGCCCTGTAAACCTCATCGCTTTACTTTGACCTAGGCTTATTAAGACTGGCGCACACTACGCGACGACTAAGGCGATTTCGGTCGCCGACGATGAAAAATCAAAACTCGCCTAGTGTGCGCACTCGATCGCAAGCGATATTTCGTCGTCAATATCAGACTTGTTTGATATGATCGCCCAAGTCGTCGCTTCATCGGTAACAAATCGTGTAATGTGCTCACCTCGGCGACAAGTTAAGCGACAACGAAGAAAATAAATTAAACCAATCATTTTTGGTTATTCTTCTCATGTGACGTAACCACACACAAGATTTCTCAGAATTTTTTTCTGGTGCATACTGCATGTATAATATTAAGTGACTCGGGTAATCTAATTTAGCCCTAACTAACTAATTGAAATTTAGTTTGGAATTCTGGCAAAGCTGTCGAATACATATGGTAGTCAGAGTGGATTGTTCCGTCTATATAGCAATGTACTCAATAATAATATAGTCCTAGGATTCATGGATGGTAATTAGAATGGGCGTTATTTTTCCAGTACCTGTAGCGAGAAAACGGAGAGTGACCGTCGATCTCCCACCTGGGCTTATTGGTTGTCTCATCTTGGTTGTTTATTTTGGCAATGAGAGGATATTTAGGATTCTCTGGAATATTTCTGGACTCCTCCTCACGTAGCTTGTTTTTTATACATGCAAGAAAGAGTCGCCCAATTTGAGCTAGTTACTTATAATACTATAAACGCACTGCACTTGACGGGTGTTGTATTAAGACGGCTACGCCGCCGCCTGATCATCATGTACAAAACAATATTAATTGAAGTATTCAACGCAATGAATTTACAGGTGTCACATGATGAAGCACGTGACAGGGTGTTTTTTTCGTGATCGCCAAAGTCGTCGTGTAGTGTGCGTAATCAACTTAATTCAGGTGATATTTGTTGCCAGACTCGTCGCTTAAGTTGTCGCATAGTGTGCGCCAGGCTTTAGTGTTGTTTGGAACTTAACCCCATATTATTCTTCCTTATGCTTTAGAATAATGTAGAGTTTAAAAAGGCATTATCATTCTAACCGAGAAAATAAATTCTATTTATTTTAAATGACACTGTATTGAAGACAATGAAAGATTATTAAATTATTTCAACAATGTAGTCAAATCAAAAATTATTTTTTGCACAAAGTGACTCTTTAAGTGATGCTTATATAATGGTTATAATTCTTGAATTTTATTAAAGAGGAAATAAATTGCTGTAATCAAGAAAATATGAACACTGATATAAGTAGTAAATATAGACAATTAAATAATTATGTACAACATCTCACAACAATAAAACCCCTTTGGCTCATCGTCACAATTTGACTGGGTATATTTTTTGGCTTGGTTTCTTGTGAATGGGGGTCTGTGAAAAAGCATAGTCACATTTCTAAATAACTATCAAAATTGATTTGTCATATGTTGCTTCACTTTCTCCATAGTCTATGATAGATTCAAACAATTTCAAACTATACAATAAGTCACACCACTCTCACTGTATTAAAGTTATCAAACTCATAAAGTACCAACCAACCAAATTGCTTAAACTGAACAGAAAATGGTCATTATAAGCTTAGTCAAGGTAATGATATAATGAAACTATACACCGAGTTTCATCATTCTCACATAATTAGAATCAGAGTTTTTGTCCCAAAGCATCAACCAATCAAAATGCTTATCTCTGGTTAGCTTAAGCAGAAAATGCTCATCTTCGAACTCATTTAAAGCATTCACCTAATAAACACCTAGGCTAAGTTTGAATATTATAGTTGAATTAGATGGAGAGTAATTGAGTCTCAAAAGTCTGACATACAAACTCAATGAATTATCGGTGGCGTACATATTGATTTTGTTCGGAGGGGTGCTTAGCAAAAATGAGACAGACTGATGCACAAGCCCCTAATACGAGTGATGCAGCCACAGGTCGAGCCCCGCAGGTGCAAGCTTTCTAGGAGAATCTGGAGGGCATCTAGAATCTCTGAAATACCATTTCCTGGACTTTGAGGGAAGATTTTGCAGAATTCTGATGATCAGAAAACACTTATATTATAACATGATTAAAATTGAGTACATGGGAATTCATGTTATTTATTAAGAATTTTGCAAGAACTTATAAAGTACTGTGAATCTGTGACAACTTATGAAAGTGATAATAATCACATCATTTACATGGAACAAAAATCTTCCATATATTGTTGGGGTGAATATACATAAATTAGCAAAGACATGACTATGTCCTCATATTTTTATCAAGTGTCCGCACTTAGTCAAGTTTGATTACCAATCAGCGATTTTGTCATGGCTGATCATGTCCACCAGGTCACACAAGAGTCAATAATAGTTCATTGAGACGTTCCTGTTTCATTACTGAATGCATAACAGTTTTTACTAATTGTCACCTGTCTTTCGAAGACACTTTTTGGTAAACAATAACTCTCCTTCATCATATGAGGTAGAATGTTTAAACTTGGTGTAGGTGTTTATAAGGTGAATGCCTTGATGGAGTTTGAAGATGAGCATTTTCTGCTTAGGGTAAGCAGAGGTAAGCAATTTGATTGGTTGATGCTGTGGGACACGATAACTTTGGTTCTAATTAAGTTAAGAGTGATAAAACTTGGTGTATAGTTTAATTATAATAATACCTAAGGTCGATAATGAGCAAGCAGATCGATAAGTAATTTGATTGGTTGAGACTTCGGAGCTTTGATTGAGAGTGGTGAAACTTCGACTTTGTGTATAGTTTCATTACATCAATACCTTGCCTTAGTTCGATGATGAGCATTTTCTGTTAAGTTAAGTAGATACTTCAATCTGATTGGTCGAGACATTGGAACACAATAACTCTCCTTCTAATAGAGGTACCGGTAGAATGTTCAAACTTGGTGTAGGGGTTCAATCATGGACATTTTCTATTAATTTGATTGGTTATGACTTTGGAACACAATAACTTTGGTTCTAATTGGATGAGAGTGATGAAACTCATTCTGTCAATTCATTATACCAACAACACCTTGACTAAGTTTGATGATGAATATTTTCCGCTTAGGCTAAATAGTGATAAGCAATTTGAATGGTCAAGACTTCGGAACATAACAACTCTGATTTTAAATGCGGTAGAATGTTTAAACATGGTGTAGATGTTCATTAGGTGAATGTCTTGACTAAGTTAAATGATTAACATTTTCCACTAAAGCTAAGCAGAGCTAAGCAATTTCATTGGTTGATGCTATGGGACAAGATCGACTTTGATTCTAACTACATGTAATTGAGAGTGATAACTGAGTTTGATCATGAACATTTTCTGCTTAGACTAAGATTTGATAATCAGTTTGATTGTTTGATACTTTTCTAAAAGATAAATGGGTGATTAATTAGTATGTGTCATCTATATTTTGGGGATATCGGCAGAGGACATCAGCCTCATTTGTGGCTTGTTT